GAGGAATGCCACCTTGCAAGGATGCGTGGGCACAGAGCAGCTGCCGTGTTGCAATAGCCTCATGTCCCGACTGACTGCACCATAACCTGCCCTGCAGCGCCTGCAACTGCTCCATCCCTTTGCATGAGTCCCCAGGCCACAAGGGAAGCTGATAAAACAGCAGGCATCATCCCTGCTCCGCAGGATGCCCGACCGGGATGCAGGGGAAGATGCTACACAGAGGAACTGGGCATCCCTGCCCCACGTGGGCGCTGCGGGCACCCGTGGGCGATGCTCCCATTCCTGAGGAGCGTCCGTGCGTCACTCTCCTCGCAGACAGACACACAGAAAGTCCCGGGAGGGATGAGCCGCCGCTCACTTCTCTCTGAGTCACTTTTCCCCACGCTGAGCAGAGCCCCACACGGTTCAGGGAAACCGCCGGCAGTTCCGACCGGCACGTGGCTCCCGTCCCGGCGTCCTGGCACGCTCACCGTGGGTTGCCCTTCCCCGGGCAGAGCCGCACGTCTTATTGTCACAGGCTGTTTTTTCCTTTCCCGCCTGGTGTCATTTCTGGGGGAAAAAACACAAAACCACCACCTTTTCCAGCCTTTCCGAATGAGGACCATCCCACATCACCAGGACATTCCCTATGGGCATGTCCGGATTAAACCACTGCTACAAGGGCAACCGGTGGCTGCCTTGGGGGAGCTGCAGCTGCCTCTCTGCTGCCATGCACCAAAACAGATGGTTTTTCTTTGCACGGCTCTGCCGGAAACCGCGGGGCGCTCGTCCTCGCCGCGGTGCCGTGGGGCCCGCGCTCGAGGAAAGGGCTTCCTGGCTGGCAGCGTGCCGCGAGAAGGGGGCGGCTTTTCCGATGCCTTCGGAGCGCCCTCGGCAGGAAGGGTGGGCAGCCCCTGCCCGCGGGGGGTTTTGCAGGGCCCGTGGGGGAGCCCCGGGGAGATGGAGCCGCCCATGGACGTGTTTTCCCCCGGACAACCTCAGCAAGCGGGCGGGAGGATGCAGAGCGCGTCGCACGCGCGCGGGGTCACGGCTCCGCTCGCTGCGTGACCGATGGGCCGCTTCCCGCGGCAGGCGCCAGGACGGGGCAGGGCCTTCCTCCTCACCTTCCTGCCCCGGGAGCGCTCGGCGAGGGCAGCACGCCGTGCGCGAGCCCACGTGCGCGTGGCGGTGGCCGGAGGGGGATTTCCTAAGCGTTCGGGACACAAAAAACAAAAGGCCCCAAATGTGTGAATTTGCAAACAGGGACAATTTGCAAAAAATAAAAAATAAATAAAATAAAGAAAAAAGGTTGGGGTGCCGCGTTGGAGTGGGAGACGATGCGGGGAATGTGGGACACGGGGCTGCAGCAGCTGCTCGGGGCTCCTTCCTTGCAAAGCGGGGAGCCTTCCCTGCCTGGGGCAGCCCCTCACCTGTGCCTCCCGGCTGCACGTGGGCACCCCCGCTTGGCACCAGGCGGGCAGATGTTCCCCCAAACTGGCCTTCCCGTGGGATGCAAGGGGACAGAATCATAAGGATGGGATCTGTTCCAGTGGGAACAAATGCAGGTGGCTCCATAAGGCACGAGACCCTCCCCACTCTCGTCCTTTCCCCCTGTGAAGCCGGAGGGACCGGGCAGAGACCGCACCTAAATTCCCCTTCCTTTGAATCCCTCCCTTTCCTCACCTCGCTGCCGGCGGCGGCAGGCCAGGACACGGAGCCAGCCCCTGTGCTGCGGCCGAGCTCCACGCTGCCTTCGCCCTCCCTTTCCCTTTGTTTTTTCCTCTCCTCCTGTCCTTGTCACCGCTGTCACTGCAGGCGAGAGCAGAGCCCGTCCGTCCGTCCCGCTGGGAACCCGCACCGGCGAATCTGCTCCCGCTGCCCGTGGGAAACTTTCCAGGGTGCTGACGGAGCCGCTGGGCGCTGGCTGTAAATCATCTTCTCCTGCCGATTACGACAGCAGGATGCGGGGATAAAGCTGCTTCTCTTCTCGCCGCTCCTTCCTCCCCTCTCTGCATTTTTCCGCTTTGGAAGCATCAGAGGTGCCCAGGTGGCGGGCGCGATGCCGGCCGGAGCCCTGGGCTGCCTCCTGCTCCT